CTTTTGTTAGACCCTCTTATCTGCACGCGTGTTGAAAAACTAGCGCAACTTCGCAAAGAAGAGAGGCACTTGGCGAAATTTTTTGGTCTCGCCGCAATCCACCAAACGGTCGTAAAGCCAAATAAGAAGAATAGTTTCAGAAAATTTACAAAATCATTTTGACAAATTAATTAGAGTAGCTAATTCACTATCAACGACGAAGATCAGCAGCAAAAAAAAAAAACAGCTTCCTTCGCACCATTTTTGTCGCTTGTATACCAAGCAGATTAATTTCAACCAGGAGCTGCCGATTTTTCTCCAGCTAATGTTAAGAAAAAAAAAATTACTAATTAGAACCATATGAAATATGTACATATGTGTGTATGTATTTTGCACCCCATCATTAAAAATGGTTGGATAATGTAACGATAAGCGTTAAGTGGCAAGCGCCAAGTGACGCACGCCTTCATGCTTGCCCCTCTACCGTACTGTTTTACGATAAGAGCGTTATCCGCGTTTATCTGCCTGCCACATGAACAGCTGCTGGCGTGAATTTGTTGTGGCGCTGTAAATTATATATGAATTAACACAATATTTTCCATTGTCCAAGTAATAATGCTGTCAGTCAATTAGTCAGTTAGTCAGTCAAGCGTGCTGTGGAACAAGTTGTACGTACGAGTATGTATGTATTACTACAGGTGCCGCAAATCAGCCGTTTTTATGTACTAAAGCGCAACAACAGACCCAGAGTCAGTCATTCATGCCGTAACTCGTGCCACACCACTCATGTTGTTGTCACTCACACCAGCGCCAGTGAGAGTTAGTCAGCCAGTAAGCCAACGACAGACATTACAAAATGTTTTATTGCGTGAGACCAGCAAATGAGCTTGCAGTGTATTTTTTTTTTATACCTTTCATGAGCATGAAATGGTATTATAACTTTGGTCCGATGTTTGTAAGTACCAGAACAAAAAGAGATAGACCCATGAAAATGTATACTTATATGATCAGAACGTCGAGCTGAGTTGATTTAGCCATGTCCGTCTGTCCGTCTGTCCGTCTGTCCGTCTGTCCGTCTGTCCGTCTGTCCGTCTGTCCGTCTGTCTGTCTGTTTGTATGCAATCTAGTCTCTCAGTTTTCGAGATATCCGGATGAAATTTGGTAGGTGGGTGTATTTTTATAATGTATTAATCATTTGTCGGAACCGGAAGAATCGGACCACTATAACATATAGCTCCCATACAACTGATTGTTCAGATATGAGATTTTTCATTATAACTTCTCCATTTATGCAGCTACGAACATGAAATTTTGCAATACTTGCACCCATTATCAACAGAATACTTATAGTGAAAATTACAAAGATCGGGTCACTATAACCTATAGCTCCCATACAACGGATTGTTCAGATATAAAATTTTGCGTTATAACTCCTCCATTTATATAGCTAGGAACATGAAATTCCGCACTGTTTTCAATAATTATCTACAGAAAACTTACAGTGAAAATTAAAAAGATCGGGTAACTATAACCTATAGCTCCCATACAACTGATTGTTCAGATATGAGATTTTTCGTTATAATTCATCCATTTATGTAGCTAGGACCATGAAATTTCGCGCTGTTTTCACTCATTATCAACAGAAGACTTACTTCGAAAATAATAAAGATCGGGTCACTATAACCTGCAGCCCCCATACAACTGATTGTTCAGATATGAGGTCTTTTATCATAACTCCTCCATTTATGCAGCTAGGAACATGAAATTTCGCACCATTTTCACTCATTATTAACAGAATACTTACAGCGGAAATAACAAGGATCGGATGACTACAACATATATCTTCCATACATCTGATTGTTCAGATATGGGATTTTACTGTAAAACTTCTTTATTTGAAAAGCTAAAACCGATAAATTTCGTAAGATATTTTATAAATAATAATACAAAGTCTACTGAGAAAATCGTCAAAATCTATGCTGTATAAGCTTTATCTCCTATAGCACTGATTGTTCAGATACCAGTTTTTACCATATATCTCCTTTATGTACGAAACTAAACCCAATAAATTGTGTTACCGGTTTACATACCGATCACATAGCGGTGAAAATCACTTAGATTGGTGTCATATAAAGTATATCTTCCATACCTCTGATTGTTTAGATGCGATTTTTTATATAAGTATGTAACTCCTCTATCGATGTATGCAGATGTATTCAAAAGCAGTAATCTGTCAAAGTAAAATTTGCAGATGTTCATGAAAGGTATGAAGCCTTCGGCATAGCCGAAGACAGCGCTGCTCTTACTTGTTTTTTTTAATTTCTATATATATATATATATTTTTTTTTGTTGCAAGTAACTATGAATGCGAGTAAGTCACTGAGTCTGAGCTATTATTATACGTATTATGTAAGTACTTTTTCACAAAAGAAATGCACATGAAACTTTACTAGTCTCGTTCTTCAACTTTATTTATGCAAGCGTTGCATTTTTTATTATTTTTTATATATCTGTTTTTTTTTTCCATGACACTAAAGGTCAAGGGTATTTATAAGACGTATGTATGCTCATTTGCTTGTAATTTGCTCTGTAAAGAAAGCTGCAATAAACGAGACAGAATACAGAAGATTA